TGCTTTTCATGACAGTAAACCCCTTAAACTGCTTTATATGTATCTTGGGAATAATGACTGGTTTGATTATGGTAGTATACCTAGAAACAAAAAATTGGTATTGGAATTAGGGAAGTCTTTTCCGTTTTAATAGGCTATAGAGAGTGGGATTTAACAATTTTTCTCTTAATAGCTTTTTTTTTTATGAGTCAAGAGATTAAGAGGTGCACCTGAGGGCTGGCTTTCTCATTTAGAGTGGTAGGTACTCAGGACCCAGAACTGGCAACATATTTTGCAGGATCCAGTGCAAAATGAAGATGTAACGTCTTGTGTTAAAAAACTATTAAGAATTTCAAGATTGCGTATGACAACAGTCTTTAAGCAAGTATGGGATCCTATGTGACTGCACAAGTCATATACCCATGAAGTCTGTCTTGTAGGCACTTTATGCAAAGAGAAGAGTGTACACTGAAGAAATAAGAATTTGGCTTCCTCTATCCCCCATCCCTATTTTATACAAGGTAACATGTTTCTCCTCCCATTCCTCCCCCCCACCAAAAGCGATGTTCCCTTTTCAGCTGGGGTGAGGGAAACAAAATGCTCTTTGCACTGTCTTTTATATGCTTGGGACTTAAGAACTTTGAAGGACTAATGACAGCAACTAGAATTGAGTTTATTTATCATCTCACATATGTGTACCCCTTGGGACATATGCATTTTCCTCCTACCTCTCTCCACTGCCACTGCTTACCTCCACCACCAGTGTGTTAATGGTGGTGGAATAATGACTTACCTCTTTCCATCTTTTTTATCCCTACTGTCTTCCTGAATGAGTTCATAGCTGTTATTGCTGCCTACCCATCTTATACAGGCCAACTAGATGGAGAAGAAATTTTCTTCCCTCTAGTAGAGCTTATACTATACCTCTTATTTTGGATGTGTATAACCTGGCCATTGTATTAAGTTTCACTTTACTCCAGAGATGCCAAAAACCAGTTAGGAACAAAACAGATGAGATGGGACTTTGAATTGACTGGGTAGGGGAAGATGATTGCAAATAAAAATATTTTGGAGGTGAATGTTAATTTAGTTATGATGTGCTTCTTTACCACACTGAAGCTTCAGATGTTTCTAAGAAATAAATACTAATTTTTGGAGGTCATTTGTGTAGTGAACTAAAAAGAAAATGAAATTCATTGAAATAGTTGTATGTTGGGCAGAAAGGTAAAAAGGTCAAAAGGACTTATTAAATAATGTTGGAGCCCAAAGTAAATTATTTTTCTTCCAGGTATAAAACTAAATAAGGCTCAGAAAGCAAATTCGAATTTGTATCTCTTGTGTTACTCATTGATTTGCTTTTAACTGATCTGGTTTAATGCTTTAAACACATTTTGTTGTTGTTGCTGTTGTTGTATTTTGTAGCATAGCAGTGTGGTGTTCTTTTTGAGGGTTCATAAGTCTACTGTATTTCTCTTTCATTCCTATTTGATCAAACAGCTGTTTTACTGAAAGGAAAGGTATATTCTAAAACTTTGTGTATAACCTTACAGCATAGTTTATCCTTGTTATAAGTAAATTACTCCCAGTAGCAGATTAGATCCTTTATAAATCAGGTAACTGCAAAAATGTTTTTAACAGTCTTCTGGTTAAAATTGATCGCTTAAACATTTTCTGCCCCCCTGAATAGGTACCTTAGGAAGGTTTGAATGACTGAGTTTGTTCCTTTCTAAAATGCAGTTATACTCAAGGAGAAGAAAATTAAGATTCTAAAACCAATCTAGTATTTTGTGTAAATTTTAAGTATAGAAACAGTGTTAGATTTAAAATACTTTGGAAGAGATAAAAAGTGTGTGTTTTTATTTTTTGACACTAAGTGCAAATAAAATCCTTTTACGAAGAAATGCTTTGTATAAAGTTACATATTTGGCACATTATTAATGTAAACAACTTTGCTAAAGCTTTGGCTATTTATCACAAATATTGATATGCCCCATTATATTAAAACTGAATGTGTTAGTGTTCTGCTTTTAATGTTCTAGTGACTCCTGGTACAGCCCAGAATAAAACTGCTTTTCCCTTTACATATAATAAAAACTGTTGAATGAGAACATTTGTGTAATAGGTATGTTTGTACATCATCTTTTTCATTTAGTGGAACATTTTGTGTAAATCATCTTTTTCATGTAGAGAATACCATATGGATGTCCCCTTTGTGTGCATATTAATAATATACTAAATACTCATTTTTTTGCAGATTTTTCTAAAATGTTTGAGTAATAATGCAGGGGTGAAGTTTGGATGTTGGTATTAGAAAAAAACTATTCTTGTAAAATGTATTCATGTTTTACCATCTAAAATAAATACGTGACATTTCAGGGGATAAGAAATTTAAAAGTGATTATGGAGATATTAAGACACCAAGGTACTTAAGTATAATTACTAGAGGTCCCAAGTTTTTAATATCCTTACTTTATGGACAAACTTCCAAGGATGCCCAATGCATGTGGTTCTCTAAACTTACTTGGAATCCTGGGTAATGGAGAATCTCAGTCATATGCTGGCAGAGTTGTCCTACTTTCCAAAGTCATGATACCTTCAAATATTAATTACTACAAAAGCTTATGGCATTGTCATTTAAAATTGAGATCTGATCATTTATAAAACAGCCTAAACCTCAGTTTCTAGAGTCTGTACAACATCAAAAGTCAGAAAAATTCTTTTTCCTGTATTACAGTCAAAAACATTTCTATATCTCAAAGTAAACATGTCCAGTTCCGTTTTTAAAGAATTATGGCATCTAAATATAACTGATAAAACATTCTATTGCAAACTTGCCCATCACCCTCTGCCCTTCTCCCTCAATTTGCTTTACACACTTAACATTAGCATTCTGTGAACAAATTTTTGAAGTATTGTTATAATGCATTCTGTTTGTATCCTACAGTAATTTATTTACATTTTAAAAGGAATTTGAATACAGTGTGGCAATTTTGACAACCAGCAAGCTCATCAAAGTAAGATTCTCCCTATAATCTCATGATAAACCAAAAATGCTTATTCTGTTCCACAAAACAAAGACAGGGATTGTGTGTGGTTTACCTTTTATATAGGGAAAGAATAGCTGACATCTAGTAGCACTTAGCCCTTTGAGTTCCCTAAACTCTTTACTTCTAGTGTATGAATTGCTTTATGCTTTAAAATCCACTTAAATTCAAATTGCTCACCAGTGCAACTAGGAAAAAGAAGGTGCTAATTACAAAGCACTTGGTACCTCACTCTTCCTAATGGTTGTGAAGAACTTAGTTTCTACATCTAAGCTAGACTGATCATTGAAGAATTTCAATGTGACTGTTAGCAACATATTCATTTAAACAAATGACGCACAGGTGTTCTACAGGAATGCTACCTGTATTGCATAGTGGTAGAACAAATTTCCATTCATATGCTGCCTAAGTGTCAAAGGTTAAATTATTGGGTTTTCCTTTGTTTTTTCACCAGAAGTATTTGTTGAGTTTCTACTATGTGCCAGGCTCTTGACTGAGATAACTAATAATTTATAAGATTTTTCTATTCCAGATTTTGGTTATTTAGTTTTTTTGAATTAGCCATTCTTAACTTGATTTCCTGCAGTTCTTTACTTATTAGATTCTTCTTCTGAGCATAAGCAAAGGAATACTCTGGACCCAAGCAGGATTTTACTTTTAAAGAGGCAGGTTACAAGAAACAGAAGCCAGTGGCTTGAATGAGATTTATCTAGGCTTCTCATGGTTTTTAATTTTCTATATGACATTTCTGTTAGCATTGCCACTTGACTACTGTAAGGAACTGTGTTCACTGGTTTTGTAATAGTAGCATCTGTTCTTTTGGAATCTGGACTTTGAACAACTCATTTCACAGAATCCTTGAATAGCCAGTTCCTATTCTCTCTTACCTGGAATTTTTCAAGGGATTTCACATGACAGGTTAACAGAAGAAAAGCCATTTGTGTAACTCTTCTGTTACATTAGTTTCCCTCCCCCTTGGATCCCTAGAGATAAACTCTTACCTTCTCTTCCTGCTAATTGACCAGCAGCACCCTGGAATATTGTCATCCCTTTGTCCAAAGGAATGGTGTAGTTGTATTCAAAAACCAATAAAATGTTATGTCCTGTCATTCCTACCTACAAAAAATAGCTTTTTTCCCTTTATTAAATTATATTTTTTAGAATAAGTGATTAAAGGAGAAGTCAAGTAATTGAAGTAATTTCAAGAACAGCACAAAAATTTTGATCCACTTTTAATATAAAAATCTTTTTCCCTTTTTAATCACATTTTAAAATAAGTTATAGGAGAAAATGTAAAATTCAAAAAAATGTGAAGAATAGTTAGCATTATGTTTCTGGTCCATTTGTAAAGTTATGTGAGATATTCTGGATTTACATTTATTTCTTAGTAAAATAAAATTTGTTGTACATGCAATACAGGTTGAGTTAAAAAATGAGAATTGAGCTTTTTTGCCCTTCCATATGTAGGGCCAGCATATAATTTTAAGAGCTATTTATTATGTATTTGCTATAAAATTGATTTCTCATTGACTTTTTATTATGTTGTTGTTGATTCTTTACTAAGTTTTCAAAGCATGTGAGAATAATGGAATAGTAATCAGATGGAAACTTAATTTAATGATCTTAAATAAAAGGTTATAATTTTCCTGGAAATAAGGAAGATTAATAGATATGAAAATAATGTACTTAGGATTGTAAGACGAAAGATTACCATTGTAATAATTGGCTAATTTAGTAATTTCAAGTTTAGTTATATTCTCTCAGTTCTAGTTTGGTATATGATAAAGCATTATTTGAAAAGTAGTACAGGAAGAATGTTACTGTTGTTAAAGACCCAGCTGCAAGTTAGTGCATGCTTCAGGGAATACAAATGTAGACTTTTTCTAACTTGGTTTAGATGGTCTGACCTCTCTAGAAGTATGTATTTATATTTTAGAATACATATGAAATGTTAAGTCTTTCTCTTCCCTTTTTTAGCCTTAGATTGTAAGCAAAAGAAATCAAGGTCAAGATCTGGAAGCAAGAAGAAAATGCTAACATTACCTCATGGTGCTGACGAGGTTTACATTCTCCGATGCAGGTATATGCTTATATTGCCATATCTGCTCAGTTTCTTCAGATTTTGCTTTGAGACCTTTTAGGGATTTTTAATTTGTGGCAGAAGGTACATTCTCAGCTATCAAGTTATAAATGAACTTTTGGAGACAGGCTTAAAATATTACTTAGCTCATAATACACTGTATTTCATAACTGATGAATAAATTTTTTATATCTCAGAACTTCAGTGATACTGTAATTTATGAAAGTAGCTTTTTTTGTTGTTGTATCTTATTTAGTTGCTTTGTTTGGTTTACTTTGATTTGGTTTGAATTTTTTTTTATTTGGCTTGAGTTTCTGCTTCTTGGGACTACATTTCTCTCCACTCATACTTTAAGTATAGCTATGCAAACTTATTCCCACCTCCTTGTATTCTCATCCTCATGAGGTTTATGGAATTCTGAGTTGGGGAAGGATCTTTTGAAAAGAATGGTACATTTGGAATTATAGTTGTTTTAAATGTATTGAGATGGATAGGTATTAAGACCTTTTAATTAATTTTAATTTAATAACAGTATTTCCACCTCTACAAATATTACTACAGGTAATATAGCTGTTAAGCATGTGAATTGGCAGTTTTATATTATATTAAATCATTTTGACTTTATATGTATTTAAAAACTATTGTCAAGTACTCCAGTATATGATAGTATCTCCAAGATATAGTAAAGTCTACTTCTTATGTTTATGGATTTTATGTGAATTGGTTTTAAATAAAGGGAATTGGTCATGTTAAGAGAACTGTTATCAACTTCTTCTATAGGTTTTGTGGCCTAGTCTTTCGTGGACCATTGTCTGTTCAGGAAGACTGGATTAAGCACTTACAACGACACATTGTAAACGCTAATCTTCCACGGACTGGAGCTGGCATGGTGGAAGTCACGTCACTACTTAAAAAGCCTGCTTCCATTACAGAAACTTCATTTTCTCTACTAATGGCAGAAGCAGCTTCATAGAACAAGGAAACCTTTTAAATAGCAAATTTAAATTGGATGTAAATTTGAAATTCTTTGTCTTTTTTTTTTAAAGCCACGTTAAATTATCCGTTTATAAATACTAAAGCAGGAAAATGGGGAAAAGTGAATTACAGTGACATCAGAGCAAACTGAGTACTTCAAACAGTAAGTAGTCTATATATTTTATATAGGATGGAAGATGTGTTTTTAAGGCTTACTAAGTTTTTGTCAGTTAACTATGTTCACTCAACGAAAGATCAGTACATGTAAGCAGTCATTAATAAACTGTTGCACATGGATAACTTAAAGACAGACTTATTGGAAAATTACATTTTCTGCAGTGTTACCGGAATCAAGGTTCTGTTTATTCCCCACAAGACTTGCATTGAAAAATAAGATATTATATTTTGTTTGTATGTATTTAGTGTTTTGTATAATACCAGGAACCGCTAAACTAAATTTACTCAACTTAGGGCATTAAATATCATGTACTTCATAGTTTGAGACTGTTCACTCAAATAGGGCAGAGTACTATTCTATCTAGATGTGTAAGTGTTTTTTTAAAATCACATGGAACGGTTTTTTTTATACTAAAAAGTGGAGGGAGATTTGTTTAAACAAGTATTTCTAAAAGAAATATGTACATAGTCCTGGAAATTATTTGTGGTAAGGAAATATTCTTTACTCCAGTTGCATTTCTCAGACAATAAAGTGGTGCATCCATGCTACCTCCTACTTTGTCAACAAAGATGCTATTTACCCTTTACATTTTTGTATCATAATAGATTTAAAAAATCTAATGTTCTTTATTGCAAGACATCCTTTTGTTAACAGATTTGTTTCTTTTTAATGTTTTACCTAAAATTTGACATGCTTACAGGACAGGTTTGCCTCTTACTTTATTTAACATTGTAGAAATGTAATTAATAAACAATGCTCACTACACAACTTAGAATAGGCTTTCTCATTTATATTCCAAATTTGATCAGTTAGCAAAACTTAATACACCAATTGAAATATTTCTACATATGATGAGAATGTTTACAATTTAAATTTTAGAACTTGTTTTGGATGTGATTATATGTACGAAAATCGTGTAACACTATGCTCATGCTAAGAACCGACATAACGGAATTACTGAAATAAATGTGCTGTGAGGAATGGAAAATATGGTGCAGATGTCTTGGTCATGATAAATTGTGATTCTTTTAAACTCTTTCCAAAAACAAATTATTTCTTTTAACCTGCAATCAGATTCCTTTACAAATAACAGTTTTGTATGCAAGCACCATTTCATTTTATTTCATGTAGTATGGCTAATACTATAGTTGAAACAAGGATATGCATTGATAATTTTCTTCGTATGTAAATAAAGTTAAAAACAGTTAAAATAAGGAGTATTTTGGTAGAGTATATACATACCTCACTGCCAGTGAAATTGCTTTCCTATGGTATATCTCCTTACCAGAAAAATCTCTAAATAAAAAAAGACTTAAAGAAAATTATAATGTCTATATTGTGAAACATTTCTTATTTTTATCACTGGTGGAAATAGTCCACTTGAGGTTGTGTTTCATTTTATTTAAATTGTGTATTTAAATTTCTTTACTTCCGACTGAAATTATACCAAGTCTGTATATACTAGTTGTCTCTTACTGAGCATGTTTCATTGATAGTTATAAATGAATATATTTTTTAAATTGGAAGAGTTACTTACATAGCAAGTAGAGTTCAGAAATTTAAAAAAGCTACAGTTTTGGGGGGACAAGACTAGCCATCACTACATCCCCTTTCAGCTCTAATTTTTATAATTCTGTGATTTTATTAAGCAAACTATCAAGATATAAGAATACAAGTAGACTAGGTAGTTTGACCACAGATTTTATAAGCAAATCTAGATTAAATTTTTTATGTTAAGCTATTTAAAACAAGAATTCTTTTTCTACATGTGAGAAGAATTAAATAGAATAATTCAAATTAAAAACAGTAAACTAGAGGGATTCCTGGAAAGTAAATTAAACAAAAAACATTTTTCATGGTAAGGATATTTGGGTTTCAAAATTTTAAAAATTCTTTGGAAGCAAAGTTTATCTTTTATTTGACAACTAGAGAGTTAAGACTTATTTTCATTTGGCTTCCACTAGAAAAGAAATTATATTGTCTCAAGTTACATGGTATCAAAATATGGCATGATTCAATATTAAGTATTGCCTAATTTTCTTTTAATTCTTTTTTTTTTTATCATTACCTAAAATATTTGAGCTTTAGTATTAGAGCTTTTTTCTTTTTTAAAAAATCTGGTTAAAAGTGTTTATTTAGTAGCATCAAGACAAAAAAGTTAACTTCTCTAAAACTAATATTTTCTACTGTGCTTCTTTAGAATATATTAGAACCTTGGTGTAGCTAATATCTCTGTTTTGGAGTTCACATTTAATTATGGGTTAAGGAGATGATTGTTTTTCAGTAGTAATTGAATAGACTTTTCTTAAAACCTCTCAAGAACTGTATAGTTAGAACCTATTAGTCTAAAAGATAGCTTTGATTTTTTTTTTTCCAAAGAAAGTTTAGTATATGCTCATTTTGGAAATATTATGATAATGAAAAAGTAAAAAATGGGGGACATTACCTTGTTATAATCACTCAAAGACATTTACTTGTAACAGCTTATTATATTTCTCTTGTCTTACTGTTTCAGTGTACTTGTGATTGTATGTATTACAATGTATACTGTTTTCCCAGTTTTAAATTTGAGTGGTGCGTTGTCTAGGCTAACCTTTGAATATTAGATCTGGAGCATTTTCCAATACCAACAACAAATTCTCTGATTCCCCAGGTACCAACTAGGTATCCAGGAATGGGATTCAATTCTGACATTAACTACCTAGAGTTAGCAGCAGACTCATTGGGCTAAAGAGCTCAGTCCCCACACTTCAGATGCCAGTCACAAGTACCGGGTCACTTGTACTTCTGACCAACTGGCTATAAGTTGGGGGTTCCTACTACACCCTCTTCAAACTCAATAATTTGTTGGAAGAGCCTGCAGAACTCAGGAAAACACTTGACTATGCCAGTTCATTATAAAGGACATAACTCAGGAGGAGGTGCCTGGATGGCTCAGTCAATTGAGCGTCCAACTCTTGATTTTGGCTCAGATCATAATATCAGGGTCCTGTGATCGAGCCCCACGCCAGGCTCTGTGCTAAGTGCAGAGTTTGCTTGTCCCTCTCTCCCTCTGCTCCTCCCCTCCTCCCTCCCCGACACTCTCTCTCAAATGGATAAATAAATAAAATCTTTAAAATAAATAATGGACATAACTCAGGAATAGACAAATGGAAAGAGATGCAAGGTATGCAGGGAAGAGGGTGGCATGGAGCTTCCCTTCCCTCTCTGAGTACACCACCCTCCCAGCATCATGATGCTTTTACCAACCTGGAAGCTCTTTGAAGCCCATTGCTTAGAAGTTATTATGGAAGTTTTGTTACATAGGCATGATTGATTAAATCAAGTAAATTGATTAAATCATTGGACATTGGTGGTTAACTCAATCTCAAGCTCTTTTCCCCCTCCCCGGGGGTCTTGGTGGGGCCAGGGTATGGGTAGTGGGGAGGGGTGCTAAAAGTTGCAATCCTCTAATCATGCCTTGGTTTTTCTGGTGACCAGCTCCCATCCTGAAGCTATTTAAGGGCCCCCAGCCACCAGTCATCCTATTATTCGTGCAAGTTCAGCTGTTACTCATTTTAAAATAAGCTGTTCTATATTTCCTGATTACTTTTAATATATTTACTTGATTTTATCTCTAGTTTTCTAAAGTTTTACTATATGGATGGAAATTTCTTTTTTATTATTGTCAAGTTTGGGATCTCTACTGGGTGTTGGAAATTTCCTAGCTATTGTCTCCCAGCTATTTCTTCTGCCTCATTCTCTCTTTCTTTCGGAACTAAATGTATGTTAAATCCTTCTCACGGTGTCCTCTAGGTTTTTTACCATTTCTTCTCAGTTTTCTGCCTGTGTTGGTGCTACATTTCAGATAATTTCTTTTGACCCATCTTCCAGTTTACTCATTTTCTCAGCTACTACTAAACCGCATTTACTGAAGTCTTAATTTTGGTTGTAATATTTTTCAGATCTAGAATTTCTCTTGGTTCTTTTTCAGATATGCTTTTTATTGTTTCTAGTAGCCTATGTGGCTGTTACTTCCTTAAATATGGTCTGCATAGTTATTTATATATTCTCCCACTGATAATTCCAAATAATTGTGGGTCTGGGCTTATTCATAGCTGCTTTTCCTGCTTCTTGTTTATGGTATCTTGTTTTCTTATGTGCCTAGATGCTTAACAATACATTATTTTTAGACATTATATTTGGAAACTATTCTAGAACTGTTTTGAAGCCTAGGATAATATCTTTTCCCATAGGATTTTCATTTACTTCTCTTTTTTTTAAATTTTATTTTATTATGTTATGTTAGTCACCATACATGACATCATTAGTTTTTGATGTAGTGTTCCATGATTCATTGTTTGCATATAACACCCAGTGCTCCATTCATACGTGCCCTCTTTAATACCCATCACCAGGCTAACCCATCCCCTCACCCTGCTCCCCTCTAGAACCCTCAGTTTGTTTCTCAGAGTCCATAGTCTCTCATGGTTCGTCTCCCCCTCCGATTTCCCCCACTTCATTTCATTTACTTCTGCCAGATGAGTGGGGGTTCTACCAGTTTAGGACATCTTAAACCCAAATTCAAGATTTGTATTTTCCTCGTCTACCAGATGACCCAAAGTCAGGCTATCTATAAGAGCTAGATCATGGGAAAGTTCATATACCTCTGGTTCACCTTTTACCCTATGAATATAGTTTGTTCTACTAGCTCCATGCAGCCATCAAAATTGCAACTTAGTTTCATAGCTATTTCTTCTAGATAGGATATACCCTCTGGGCAAAAATAAAAGGCTTTATTACTGGGTGGTCCCACAGGGTTTCTTGTCTTCTCTTAGAGTGTGACTTGGTTAATTCTTTACTCTCATGTTATTTCTTTTTGTTTGCTTATATGATATTTTTGTTTTTATTAATCCAACCTTTTTAGTTGACCTCAGTGAGAGAAATTATTGAATGATGTAGTCTACCATTTTCAGAATCAAAAGTCCTTATATAAATTTCTGGGA